CATGTCTCCCATCCCCTCACCTGAGGTCCCTGTCCCTGTGGGGCCGGTCCTGGAGCAGCCAGAGCAGGTCCCAAATGTTACCCCAGGGATCCCATCCCCTCACCTGAGGTCCCTGTCCCTGTGGGGCCGGTCCTGGAGCAGCCAGAGCAGGTCGAAGCGGCTCAGGAGGGCGGCGGGCAGCTGCAGGTTGTGCTCCAGGCTCCTGGCGGGGTCGTACCTGCCCAGGGCGGGGTTGGCGGCGGCCAGGACGGCGCAGCGGGCGTTGAGGGTGGCCAGCACGCCCGCCTTGGCCACGGCCACGCTCTGCTGCTCCAGGGCCTCGTGCACGGCCACGCGGTCGCCCTCGAGCATCTTGTCGAACTCGTCGATGCAGCAGACGCCGCGGTCGGCCAGGACCAGGGCCCCCCCCTCCAGAACCAGCTCCCCGCTGCGGGGGTCCCGCAGCACCGCCGCCGTCAGACCCACCCCCGACGAGCCACGGCCCGTCGTGTACTGGCCTGGGGGAGCAGAGGGGGGAAAGGGGTCAGGAAGGTGTTTAGAGAACCCTCAGAGCTCCTGGAGCAAGGGCAGGTCACCCCTCAGAGGTTCTGGTCAAGACCGAGGAGCATCAACCCAACAGGGGTTGGGTGGGGAGAAAAGAAAGGGGGGAGGAAGAGGAGGAGAGGGTGAGGAAGGCTCCTGGAGTGACCTCAGAGCTCCTGGAGTGACCTCAGAGCTCCTGGAGGGACCTCAGAGCTCCTGGAGGGACCTCAGAGCTCCTGCAGTGACCCCCAGGTCACCCCTCAAAGGGGGTCACCAAGACCCAGGAGCATCAGCCCGACAGGGGTTGGGTGGGGAGAAAAGAAAGGGGTGAGGAAGAGGAGGAGAGGAGGAGGAGGAAGGTTCCTGGAGTGACCTCAGAGCTCCTGGAGTGACCTCAGAGCTCCTGGAGTGACCCCCAGGTCACCCCTTAAAGGGGGTCACCAAGACTGAGAAGGATCAGCCCGACAGGGGTTGGGTGGGGAGAAAAGAAAGGGGGGAGGAAGAGGAGGAAGAGAAGGGGTGAGGAAGAGGAGGAGAGGGTGAGGAAGAGGAGGAGAGAAGGAAGAAGGCTCCTGGAGTCACCTCAGAGCTCCTGGAGCGACCCCCAGGTCACCCCTCAGAGGGGGTCACCAAGACCCAGGAGCATCAGCCCAACAGGGGTTGGGTGGGGAGGAAGGAAATGGGGGAGGAAGAGGAGGAAGAGAAGGGGTGAGGAAGAGGAGGAGAGGGTGAGGAAGAGGAGGGGAAGAGGAAGAAGGCTCCTGCAGTGACCTCAGAGCTCCTGCAGTGACCCCCAGGTCACCCCTCAAAGGGGGTCACCAAGACCCAGGAGCATCAACCCAACAGGGGTTGGGTGAGGAGGAAGGAAATGGGGGAGGAAGAGGAGGGGAGGAGGAAGAGAAGGGGTGAGGAAGAGGAGGGGAGGGTGAGGAAGGCTCCTGGAGGACCCTCAGAGCTCCTGGAGGGACCCCCCAGGTCACCCCTCAAAGGGGGTCACCAAGACCGAGAAGGATCAGCCCAACAGGGGTTGGGTGGGGAGGAAGAAGAGGATGAAGATGAGGATGAAGAGGATGAAGAAAAGGATGAAGAAGACGAAGATGAGGATGAAGAGGATGAAGAGAATGAAGATGAGGATGATGATGAAGAGGATGATGAAGGACTCACTCCTGGGTGCCAGGCGGTCGATGTAGCACAGGAAGGGGATGGGGAGGAGGAGGAGGATGAAGAAGGGGATGAAGATGAGGATGATGAAGAGGATGAAGATGAGGATGAAGAAGAGGATGAGGATGATGAGGAGGATGATGAAGGTCACTCACTCCTGGGCGCCAGGCGGTCGATGTAGCACAGGAAGGGGGTGGGGAGGAGGATGAAGATGAAGAAGAGGATGAAGGTGAGGATGAAGAAGAGGATGAGGATGATGAAGAAGAGGATGATGAAGGACTCACTCCTGGGTGCCAGGCGGTCGATGTAGCACAGGAAGGGGACGGGGAGGAGGATGAAGAAGGGGATGAAGAAGAGGATGAAGATGAGGATGAAGAAGAGGATGAAGAAGAGGATGAGGATGATGAGGATGATGAAGGACTCACTCCTGGGCGCCAGGCGGTCGATGTAGCACAGGAAGGGGACGGGGAGGAGGAGGAGGATGAAGAAGGGGATGAAGATGAGGATGAAGAAGATGAAGATGAGGATGAAGATGAGGATGAAGAGGATGATGAAGGTCACTCACTCCTCGGCGCCAGGTGGTCGATGTAGCACAGGAAGGGGACGGGGAGGAGGAGGAGGATGAAGAAGAGGGTGAAGATGAAGGTGAGGATGATGAAGGTGAGGATGAAGATGAAGATGAGGATGAAGAGGATGATGAAGGACTCACTCCTGGGTGCCAGGCGGTCGATGTAGCACAGGAAGGGGATGGGGAGGAGGATGAAGATGAAGATGAGAATGAAGGTGAAGATGAAGATGAAGGTGAGGATGAAGATGAGGATGAAGAGGATGATGATGAGGATGATGAAGGTGACTCACTCCTGGGCGCCAGGCGGTCGATGTAGCACAGGAAGGGGACGGGGAGGAGGAGGAGGATGAAGGAGAGGATGAAGATGAGGATGAAGATGAAGGTGAGGATGAAGATGAGGATGAAGAGGATGAAGAAGAGGATGAAGATGAGGACGAAGGTCACTCACTCCTGGGCGCCAGGCGGTCGATGTAGCAGAGCAGTTGGGATTTGGCCACGCCGGGGTCTCCCATCAGGCAGATGTTGATGTTCCCTGGGAAGGGGGGCGGGAAGAGGGTCAGGAAACGGGAATTCGGGGACGGAAACCTGGATTTGGGGTCCAAAAACCCGGATTTGGGGTCCCAACCCTCAATTTGGGGC